AGGTCCCTGGTCTCTCTGCTCATCTTAATCTGCAAGCCAGGAGCGTGCAGGTCACTGAGCACATGCACCGCAACAGATTTCTGGCTTCCAACAGGAGCAGGCTTCTGAGACAGGATGAGCTCGGGATTCTGAATAGTGTGCCCGAGGTGAATGCAGGCAGCACCTATAGCCTTACGCACAACTTTGGGGGGTCATGGGCAACCTTGGCAACGCCGTCAACATAGTCCATATTGGTAGCCAGCCTCAAGGCATCGGTCAAGGAGATCATTTGACAATTGGTTGAGCAGTTGGTACACCTATATCTTCACATACGCCCAATACATAATCTGCATACATCCAGGGATGGCCCCGATTCCATATTCAGTATTGTTTGAGGAACCATACTAGACTCAACCATGCAGGAGCCTGATATACAGGAGTTGCGGCGGGAAAGTCAAATCACACGCCAGCTCGACCAGCCCAGCAGGAACAAACGTGTCGAGAAGCTTGGTGATGTTCCAGTGCACCGCGATGCCAGGCTGGCCCTCGTCGCCAGCAAGCTCGTCAGGCAACGCTCGCCTGAGCACAGTCTGCAGTGTTGAATTCCCTGTGATGGCGGTGCCCTGGAATGCAATGTGACTCGAACTTCAATCATCCACGAAGGAACCTCGCACCTCACTATATATCCTATGCAGTCTGGGGAATGTGCAAGCAGGCCTTTCGTCCTTGCTACTCGGGAGCAGGGCTGCGATCCCGAGACAAACCTGGGATGGCCACACCATGAGCCGTTCGCACTCACGGTAGAGCCCCACCAGGGCCCCCACAGCAGAAGGGTCGAGGCCCAGAATCTCCCGAGGTTTCCAATTGTTCATTCCCACAGCAGTCGTCTCAGAGAACACCCTACACGCCCCATAGATACCAGCAGTTTCAATCTCAGGGAGCTCAGGGGACACCTCCAGGGCCCTGGCACGCAGGTACTCCACCGCTCATGAAGTATCTGAATCTGGAATGGGTTGGTCGTCCACGATTTCCCCAGAGAACTTCACTATCAGCCATCATCCCACATGGCAGTCGGAGGACCCCGCTGGGCGTATTGACGTGCTTGATGGGCTCACATTTGTCTTGCTTCATCCACGAGTAGGCCTTCTTAGCCCTCCGCGGGATCATCTTGATGAGCCAACCCTTAATCGCTTTAGCTGATGCCGTCCTCGCCTGCTGCCACTCACTGGGCAGGCAGGCCGAGCACAGATCTAACATCGCTTGGCACTGATCGGAGTCGACCGATTTGGAATCAGACAGTTGAGCTTGCCACTTAGCAGCAGACTACCAGCAGGAAGTCGGACAGCAAACTGCGGAACACGCCGACTGAGGTCATCAAGCCGAGTTCCGATAGGAATACGCACATAGTGGTGCTCATGGCCGGCTGCTACACGGATTCCGAACAGTGTCTGGGAGGCCACTGCCAAGCAAGTCAAAGTTGGTTCAACGAGCAAGGTACTTGGACCACGGGTGGGACGGATCTTGCGCACGGGCCAGTGAAAGAGGTTTCAATGGTTCGTCAATGTTTTTGGTGAGTGCATTGTGCAGGAGCCTCACATCAAAGCAGCATTGCGTTTTGAAAGGCGACGCTTGAAATTTCTCAACTCGCTCCAAGAGGGCAATCGTCTCGCTGGTAACAACATCATCGATGAGCGAGCCTTTTTTCCCACACAGCACGTAATCTCAACACCACTCGGGGGTATAGCAAGGCAGCGTGTCATCATCAGGAACCCACGCAACTCCGTTCACCCAATATCGAGATTCAACTTATTCATCACGAGCCAAGGCATGCCCAGAGAGTTGGCACAGGTCCGGAGTTGTCTCATGTTCTTTATATTCTCACCCAGGACACCCAAGCCGCACACCACGTACACCATTCATACAATCATCACACTCCTGTGGGTCTGAAGCTCGAAGCATTCAATCGTTTCCAGATCTTACTTCACGGACTTGTCCAGAGTGCCAGAGAACACGTTTAACAAACACAGGGCCTTGCTGACAGCAGCCCCTACACCCCCCCTGGGCTCCCCCTCCAGAGGAGGGGGTGGCAGGGGCAACAGGTGGTCCCATTCCAGATTAGCAGCATCACGCTTGGCCGATACCAAGTCGGCGAAGGGTTGGCGGGCTTCGCAATACATCAAACCGTGTCAGCCTCGGTATGAAATTCACACAGAAATGGCATGATGCTCGAAACGTACTATTTTAATACAGGATTCTCACTCCTCTGTCAAAGCTGCGGCTGAGTCATCTATGTCACCGTTGCCTTGAACAAGCCATTAAACTTGACTCCTACGCTCTCCTGGCCTTCTTGACCCTCTTCGCCGCCCTAGTGTTGGCCCGCTGCACCATTAGCTCCTCCATCCCAGTCTGGTCACCATCGGCCATCGGGCCTTCTTGCGACCTCTTCCGCAACGCTACCCTTTCGGCAGCATTTGTGGGCATATCTCCAGCGTCTGAGGCCGCCTCCAACATGGCATCGAAATTCGCCGCTTCTTGGATCCGCTTCTGCATGATCGCAAACTGCTGGACCACGTTGAGCGGGAGACGCCGTTGAGCCCACCGCTTCCGTAGCTGAGCATTCGTCATCAAGTGGTACTTCCCGTCAATCACGCGGGGGCATTGTAGCACCTGCAACACTTTCAGCACTTGCGCCTCCTGCTGCTCATGCAGCGCCTGCACCTCCATGGGGTGGACCACGCTGGGGCTGGCTGCCCTCCTGCGGGCGGCGCTGCCGGTGCAGGTCGAGGTCGAGCTGCTGCATCGTGTAGTTCACGCCGTTCGGTGTGGATCCATTCATTTTCACTGCACGCCGCAATTGCATCATCAGCTTGTTTTCCCTTCTGGTTAGTATCACGTACCATGGTTTCAGTTTCTTGTGGTGCAAATTCGTGATTCTCGGACGTCTGATCCTCGAACGTCTGTACACGATTCTTACGGCGGTGGACGTCTTGCGACGCAAGGTGGATTGCCTTGACCACATCGTATCCACCTCTTGTTAGCCTGGTACGGTCACGACTTGCTTCATCTGACATTTTAGCCTCCGTCTAATCGATCTCTTTCTGCACCGTGACCAGAGTACTGAGCTGATCCTGCAGGTCTGGTCTCGCAGCAAGAACGGTCTGGCACCTCGGGGTTAGCTTTTACGTCATCTTCTCCTGGTCCCTGTGGCTTCTGGGACGTATCAGCATTCCTGAACAATCCTCAACCTTTTGAGCAACAGTTCCCATGAGACTGCAACTCCCAATGACCGCACGCGCTGCACGTCGTACGGCTACTTCGTGTAGTCACGCTGCTCTTGTCGCGCCCTGCCCCAGCTGACGCCGCCGCGCCAGGGAGCGCTGGAGCGCCAGGACATGGCGCGAGAGACTGAGAGAAGGGCGGAGCGAAACGACGTTCTGCGGTGAGGAGACAGAAGCTTCCAGACCTTGCTAAGGTCTCGGCAGCCGCGGACTAGCGGCATCCGCTCCTTGCCACGCAGACAGTTGCACTTTGAGACACGATTGCCGCCGTCAGTGAGGAGCATTGAGGACGAAGAAGAAGAAGCTGAGAAGGCGGTGAGTGCCCTTGGACGCGTCAGTAAGTACATCGCGGGCCTCGGGCTGGCGGCTCGCACGCGATCGGTGCGGCACCAGGTTGAGTTGGTTTGTTGGGAAGCTGAGGAGGAGGACGTTGAGTTGCAGGAGGAGGACCGTTGACAAATCAGCAGCTGATAAGCGCCTGGACAGTACGGAGCACGACACAGGGGATCACAAACGATGCGGTGACAGGCCGTGCGGTGACCCCAAAATCCGCATAGGCCTCACAGCACCGCTTTGGGCCCCTGGAGGCCCCAATTGCCAGAGACGTCCTCGGAGAACGACCCAAGTCCAAAGACCTTGCTGGGGGGGTGCAGTGTGCAACATGGCCTAAGGCTAAGGCACGCGCGCGGCCCTGGGGGGACCGCAAGGGCAGCCAGGATCGTCGCGTCCCGCGCGACGCCCGGCCCGGGGAGGGCGGCAGCAGTGGAACATGCAGTCGGACCGAGGTACAAGAGAGCATGCTCGCGTGCAACCTGCGGGAGGGTACCCTCGGAGGTCCTGTGTGTTCCGGCCAGCGGAGGATCTCACGCGTGTTGAAGGATGTTCTGCTGTCCTGGGCCCGTCTGTTACCACACGCGCCTCGCAGCGCGCGGCGCATCTCGCGCGGCGAAGTCAGCATGCCTATTCCCGCTCACAGAGGTGAACCCCTGCGCCCCCTCGAAGACCCCACAAAGCATTCACAAAGCGCACCTGGAGGCCTCCAGAGGCACAACCTTCGTCGCCACTGCTGGATTCTCTTCGGAATTCCGTTGACGCCTCGCGCATCCCCACCAGGTCATCCAGGAACGCATATTGCCAGCCGAGTGTTGCCCTGCTCAGGAAAGTGTATAATCATGCAGTGTAACGATCACCTTCGACATATTTTCTCGGAGGTATCTTGAGCCATCTTGGGTCTCTGGTCAGACCGCACCCGGGAAGAGGTCTTGGGAGTTGCAGTACCAGTATCTTCTTGTTGCCTCAGCGGTTCCCGGGCCCTCAGGAACATGTTGTATTGGTTTTTGTGTCTCTTGCCCGTCGGTTGTCCTTGGCATCGCTCGTACGTGTGCATTTGTTCTCGGCGAGGGCCATCGAGGAGCATCTGTGATCATCGAGCGCATGATATACACGCACGGAATCGACAAATGCACGAGGCATGGACGTCCGAGCCATAGCGAGTGTCGCTGTCGCGCGCGCATCGAAATTGTAGATCAACGTGCTACGACAGCCGTGAAATTTCGGATTCTGGTGTTGCGGCTCGGCAGCGTAGGCAAGACCGCATGTCGAGTGAGAGAAGGCACGGGGCAGGACGGGAAGGGATAAGGGAGAAGCAATGCGAATGCACAAGGTCCTCGTGGCCCTCGATTGTTTGGCTCCGGAAAATCTCCATTTCTCGTCCCCCCCCCATTCTCGGCTCTTCTGCCGCAGACCGTCGCCAAGATCTTGAGCATAGACAAAGCGAGCTTCAACCGCCTGCTCAAGGTGCGAGGGGGCCGAGCGCGGAGGGCCACGTCGGGAGGAGGAGGGAGAGCGAAGGATACGAGAGGCCTGAGGAGGAGGTTGAGCAGGAGGAGGGGGAGGAGGCGAACAAGGATGGTGATGATGATGATGATGATGATGATGATGATGATGATGATGATGATGATGATGATGATGACGATGACGATGGTGATGGTGATGGTGATGGTGGTGATGGTGATGGTGATGGTGATGGTGATGGTGATGATGATGATGATGATGATGATGATGATGATGCTGATGGTGATGGAGATTCGAGGTTCGATGGCTGAGGGTTTTGGACGCCCTTCATCCGCTTCGAAGTTCTGGGACCTAGGAGAAGTCCAGGGGCAGATTTCGTCGAGGAGGGGGGGCAGGAGGAGGGGGAGCAGGAGGAGGGGGAGAAGAGCATAAGCCGAGGTTGTATGACTGATGCTGCAATGCATCCTCCAGTTGTTCGTCCTAAGTCCCCACTTCATGATTGAGTCCCTGCACGCAGCCGGGAATTGTTTCCTTAGTGGACGAGCGTCCCGTGGGTCTGTCATTCAGGCCATCGTCCAGTTGTGAAAAAGCAGGTCCTCCTTTTTCCCTAAACAGTGCTTGCACTCAGGGTTTCTTACTTGCGTTTCTAAGGAATCGGATGGATGTCCCGAAAATTCGCCATGTTCCGTCGAATTGCAGCCCCAGCGGGATTCACGATTGCACATGCGTGGGTCCTTCGCCAGGATGATACGTCTAATCCTTGGTGCATCCTCGGCAGTAACGCGCTATTGGGCCCGCCACGACGGCGTGTCATTGGTATTGGTTTGCTCCCCGAGAAGATATCCCTGCCTTCTTCGGAGGCCGTCCAATGTAAACCCGCCCCTCTGTCGGCGCGCCGCCAGAGGAGGAGGAGTTGCAGCTTCGTCGGCCGCGGCTGCGGGGGATGCACACACCACATGACAGGATGCCTCTTTGGGAGCTTCAGAGTTAGATTTTTCAAACCTACTTGAGCATCGATCACCCGAAGCAGTTTCGAGCACCACGAAAGTATGGCCCTGGGAGGCGACATTCATTCGGCGCGTCACCAGCGTCTCGGGCAGACACTGGCTCGATATTTCGCGCGGTGCTCGGCGTTGTTTCGGGGATGTGATCCTTCAGTGCGATGGTCTAGGCCTCCTAAATGGGGTCCGAGTAGACGGGGTCGGAGGATCACGCCGCATCGCAGATGCATCGACAACCCAGCTCGATGTGGAGCCCGATTTTCTGCACGCCGACGCCGACGCATCGCCGACGTCGCCGATGCAGCGTCGATGCATCGCCGCTGTATCGGTGATGCATCGGCGATGCGGCGCGACCCTCCGACCCCATCTACTTGGACCCCATCTGGGAGGCCTCCTCAGGTGGGAAAAAACCAGCTTCAGAGGACCTCAGAGGGGCTTTCGAGGCCCCGAGGCCCAGACAGCCAGTGCAGCGTTTGCTTCGCCGCCCTCGGACTCCCGCGGGGGTGGCCGCCTCCCGGCCCCAGGGGCCGCGAACAAGACACGCGCCTCGGGACGGCGCGCCGGCGCAGGGGAGCGGGCTGGGGACCCCTGGGGACCCGATGCGATCGGGTTCGGAGAGGGGGCCCGAATCCGAAGAAGGGAACGCCACAAACATAAACTTGTGGCGCTCCGCGCGGATTTCCTGGATCCGCGCTGGGCCCCCAGGGCGGCGCATCCGGCGCCGTCCCTGGCGCGCTCCGCGCGCCAGCGCCAGGGAGGGGAGTCCAGCGCAGATCGTCGAAAGTTGTAGTTTTTTTCTTTATTCATGTTCTTCGTGTTTGTTGGATGTTCTTCCGCAGACGGGCCAACGGCGATGTAGGTAACGGCGATGTAGGCTTCGGTCGTGTTGGAACGCAAGGGTCGCGCCTTCCTGTAATTCGCCATGTCGTGCTCTCTCGATACATTCGCAGATTGGACATGTAGGAGAGTGTGGTTCGCGATTGCCTACAATTTGTTCCCTTCACCACCGTTGAGCACAGTCGCCGTTAGCCCGGCCGTTGTTCGTGTGCACCTTGGTCGGACGGGGCTGGGACGAGGAACAATCCGTTTCAAAGCGTTGCGGAAGGCTCTCCAAGCGTTCCGGAAGACTCTGAGAAGGCCGCGGCGCCCCAGAATCTCAGACTTTCCCGATTCATTATCACCCGAATGTATCCTCGTCTTGGCTCCGTCTTACCTCTCGGGGCCACACATGGTCCGACCGAGGTATGATCGACCCTCGTGTTCTTCGTGTTCTTCGTGTTTGTTGGATGCTTGTGTGCACCCTGGGAGAGGGCATCTGCAGGTGATCTTATGGTTTGAGGTGTTTTAGTAGGCGGAGGGGCTCATGTGTGTTGAAGGATGTTTTTCTGTCTCAGGTCCGGGTGTATTGAAGCAATCGAGACATCGGATGGCTGTGGCCTAGGTGGAGAAGCCGTAGTAGGCGGCGAGTTTGGGGGGAAGTGAGAGGGGGCGGGCCTTCTCAGCAGGCTCGGAAGCCCCCCGGCCTTCTCAAGTAGTTTCCCAAACCTTCCCCGAAGACACAGAAAAGACTTGTCAGAAGGCCAGAGAGCCTCTGAGAAGCTTCGCCGCCGACGCAGGTTCAGAAGCGCACGCCCCCTTTCCCCCTGGCCGCGAGCCGCCTGCCATGGCGTCGAGCGGCATCGTGAAGAGGAGGAGGAGGAGGAAGATGAGGAGGAGGAGGAGGAGGAGGAGGAGGAGGCGGAGAGGAAGAGGAGCAGGAGGGGAGGAGGAGGAGGAGGAGCAGGAGGAGGAGGAGGCGGCGGAGGAGACGGAGGAGGAGGAGGAGGAGGAGCAGGAGGGGAGCAGGAGGGGAGGAGGAGGAGGAGGAGGAGGAGGAGGAGGAGGAGGAGGAGGAGGACCAGTGTAAACCCAAGAGCCATCAACCCTGTTGGACAACACCTTCCCTCCAAGCTCGTCAGTCGTAGGCCCCTACAACGGTTCATTTCCATTGAGGGATCTGCCTCATTGGAAGACAGCCGTTGAAGACCCAGAAACATGCCCAAACATTGTTCTCGGGATTCCAACGCCACGGATCAATCTGATTGTTGCGTCTGGACGATCCTGGATCGTGCCAGAACGCCATTCTTAGGATTCACACACCGCGAATCAACGTAATTGTTGCACCCGCAACATCCTGAATCCTTCCACAACACCATTTCTGGTTACGTTGATCGTGGGAATCTGTGAAACTCTGATAAAATGTATGAACGGATGCGCGCGGCGTTAAAGCGAGAGCCACAGTTTGAACGGAACCCGCCCTCCATCTGTGAAGCTGTTGCCAATGTTTGAGCTTCGAAGCATACACGGTGAGGAAGTCTCAGGCGAAACGCCCGGCCCGTCCTAAAATTTGGCCTCGTGGTGCGACAGGCGGAATTTATGTATGAGGAACAGAAATGGAGGGGGAGGAGGGGGAGGGGGAGCAGGAGGAGGAGGAGGAGGAGGAGGAGGAGGAAGATGATGATGATGATGAGGAGGAGGAGGAGGAGGAGGAGGAGGAGGAGGAGGAGGAGGAGGAGGTGCGGGGCACCGCGCGGCGCGCCCGGGGGGGGGGGGGCGATCATCTGCACGGCGGCCAGCACGCTGAATTGAGGACCGCTCTGTGCTCGGGAGGGGCTCGGGCTTCCAGGCCGTTCCCTTGGAATTCTGGTCGTGGAGTTTGTTCAACATCCTCCAAGGGAGGAAAAACCACCCAGACCAGACAATTGGCGTTTACTACACGGCCTCGGGCGTTTACTAAACAGCCATTCCCTGTTCGATTCCTTCTTTGGGCGCTTTACTCAACAACTTCGCGTGTCGGGCGGGTTATTATGGGGGTGGATGTTTTGACCTCTGATACTACTGCTAAGTGTGCGTTGCCCCCCTCAGGGGCGACGCGTGCACCGATACATCTTATAGTGTGTGTGTGTGTGTCGTGGCGGGCGTTTTCTGGCTACACCGCTCGGGAAACGACACAGTACAAGGTGGGTATATTGTATATTCGGGCTGGGCGCGCGCCTCCAAGGAGGACACATGGTAATGTGTCTCTGTGCGTCCCATGCTCGTGGCCTGCAGTGAACCCGAGTAGCAATGATGAGAGCGACTTTCCAAGGTACGCGAAGCATCCTTCGCCTTCGGCCCATCCCTGGCCGCTTTCGCTGGCCGCGCCCTGCTCGCAGAGTGCCGACATGGCCTTCCAATAGGCCCTTGCATCCTCATCGTGCGCTTCCTCCTCATGCGGGTCGACTGCAGGCCCGCCATGGTGAGAAAACCCTCCCCCTTCTTCTTCTTCCGGATCTTCCGCCCTCACATTCTTCGAGATGATCAGCGTGGGTTTTTCCTTGAACGGTGTAAGGCCTCCGTGAGCTTCGATGAATTCTTCCGCACCGTCCGCGGAGGGCGGAAGGTACGGAAGGTGGAGGTGGAGGGATGAGGTTAACATCGGGTGAGGACACATCGAGACTCATCGAGAGTCATCGGCCCTGGAGGACGCCTCAGGCACCGCGGCCTCCTCAGAGCGTCCCGCCACGCTGTGAGAGCGCTCCAGACCGCTCTCGAACGGCGGTGCCCTCTCCCCGGCCGCGTCCGAGATGCCTCCCCCGGCAGCGGTGGCACGACGGCCGCAGCCGTGCGCAGCGCAGCGGCCTCCCCGCGGCGCCGCGCGAGGCGCCGCCCGCGGCGCCGAGCGGCCCGCCCTCCGGGGGGGCGCCGAGCTCCTGGAGCGGCTGCGTGCGCGCAGGGCCCCGGAGCGGCCCGCCGAGGGCCCGCCGAGGGCGGTGGCCGTCCACCGAAATTACAGTCAACGCGCCTAGTAAGGACGCGCGCCTTCATCTAGGATACCCTTGCGTCCCCGCCTCTGCCGTTTTCACTGGTCGCCGCCGCCCAAAAAATCCCAACTTCAGCCTCCAAGGGTCTTGCGTCCTTACCGCGCGTCCTTACTACACGTTTTGACTGTAAGCTTGCAGAGCTCGCGGTGCTCGTCTCGGGACGCTCGGGGGGCTCCGGGCCGGGCGCCACGGCGCGCGGTGCTCTGGAGAGCCTCCCGCCGAGGGCCCACTGGCGGCTGCGCGCGCGCAGGTCAGCGACCTCCTGGAGCGCTCCGCCAAGTACAGCTGAGCAGGCCGCGCGCGAGGACGCCGCGCGAGGCTGGCCCCGGATGCGGCCGCGAGTCGTGGGAGCCCGGCGTGCCCTCGCGAGTCCGTCTTTAGCGTCGGTTAGCGTCGGTTGGCGTCTGGGAGTCGATGAGATGTCGCCGATTCAGCGTCGGTCAGCGTCGATTAGCGTCGATGCAGCGCCGATGCAGCGCCGATTCGCGAGAGCCGACGAGGCGCGCCCAGGGTGGGGTGGAGGAGGAGGAGGACGACGACGACGACGACGACGCGGGGAGGAGGCAGAGGAGCAGGAGGAGAGCCGCGCCGCCCGATCGCGAACGCGGGAGCTGTCCAGCGCCGGAGGCGCCCGGTGGAGCCCGCCAGCTAGACCCCTGGGGTCGCCCGGCCTCCTCCCGGTCGCCTATCTCTACGCCTCCCAAAGGGAGTCGGAGTACAGTCAAAAACCCTAACAAGGACGCGCGACTTTGCTCAGGGTACCCTTGCGTCCTTGCTTTTCCTTGCTCTTGCGTCCTTGGGGTTTTCGTCGTCCGCCGCCCCAGAAATCCCAACTTCGGCTTCCAAGGGTCTTGCGTCCTTACCGCGCGTCCTTATTGGGATGTTTGATTGTAGACGGGGTCGGAAGATCGCGCCGCATCGCCAATGGATCGCCGATGCATCGCTGCTGCCGCAGAGTATCATCGACGCATCGGCCATGCATCGGCGATGCGGCGCGATCCTCCGACCCCATCTACGCGGACCCCATTTGGGAGGCTTCTACGGTCTAAGTGCCCGTGGGCGTGGAGAGAGAAGAGCCAGATGCTCTCTGAGTCAAGCACTGGCGAAGCGTCCTGACCTGGCCGTAATAGGCCCACAAATATTGATTTGGTAATTTTGTGCGGCTTGTGACATGTTCTTAGAACATTTCTGGTTTGACACCGTTTTGTTGATACCATGGATCTTGGTTCGAAGAACATTGCACAGTTCGTGATATGAGACGGTCGGTATCGGCTCCACTGAGATGCCTGGCGACCCTCACAGGTGTCTGGATCGTCTCCGAAGGCCCCACGCGCTTTTTCGGGAGGTAGTAATTCGGAGACTCCTGTTCGGGACAAGGCCGAGAAAGGAGGTTCGTCACAGATCGTACCGCATGTTGGTCCACGTTTTTGGCCTGTGTGAGCTTGTTTCGGGCCCCAAGGCCTTCTGAGATCGCAGAAACCCAGAGAGGGGTTTGGGGGACAGGCTTTTCTATTCAGCGGATTGTGGCCCCGATCCCAGAGGATGAGGAGGAGGAGGAGGGGGGGGAGGAGGAGGAGGAGGAGGAGGAAGGAGGGATGGAGAGGAGGAGGAGAACGAGGAGGAGGAGGTGGATGATAAGGGAAGCTGAGGAGGATTCACGACAACGAAGGCGTGGGATGAAGGTGACGGGGGCGATACGGTGCACATCACAGCACCCATAACCTTGCTCGGAAATGGAGTTGTTTTTCAACACGGGCGCTCTTGCATCCTTGCCTCTTGCTCGGACCATGTTTAGGCAGTTCCGCATATGCCGGTGATGGTGATGACGTCGATGTTGGTTTCGGTGTTGGAGTCAGTGTTGCCTTCGACGCTGGCATTGCTGCTGGGGTTAATTGCGGCGTTTGTGCTGGCGCCGATGCTGGGGTAAGTACTCGCGTCGGTATCGCCATACACTTCGAAGCTTTGTGGTGCATATTATCGTGCGCCAGCAACGTGGCCGACAACGTGGTGGCCGAAATGGTCGTAACTGGTGTCGGTACCTGCGTCGTTGTTGGCTGCAATACTGGTGTCGCTGTGGTCTTCTGTGCTGGTGCCAATACCGTCGCCGATGTTGGCGTCACTGCTCTGGCGTGAGTGCTGGTGCCAGTTCTCGCGTCGATGCTGGCATCGCTGCTGGAGTCGATGCTGGAGTCGGTGCTGGCATCGCTGCTAGAGTCGCTGCTGGCGTCGATGCTGGTGCGGCCCCTGCTGTAGGTGGCGCTGGTGCTCATTCTTTCTCGCCCCCGCCACCTCCCGGTTGGTCATCCCGGTTGGTCATCCGGCATGTGTGTTGGGGCCGCTGCTGGGGGCGATATTGCTGTCGGTGCGGGCGACGATGCAGGCTCCTATGCTCGAGTCGATGCTGCTTTCGGTGCTGGTGTCGACGCTGGCGCAAGTGGTTATTTTGGTTGGGCGGCGGGTGGTTCTTTGGATGGGACGTCGGAGGGGGAGTCGGGAGGGGCATCAGACATGGCGTTGGCGTGAGAGTCGGGCATGAAGTCGCGCGGGTGGTCGGCGAAGCACACTTGTCGCATTCGCAGTGTTTGTCGACGGGCGCGTCGGAGGGCTGGCTCCGGTGCTGTCGTTGGGGGTGATGCAGGCTTATGTGTTGGGGTTGGTGCTGTGGTGCTGTGCTCGGTGCTTGTGTCAAAGCCGGTTTCAGTGCTGTCGTGAGGGCTGGTTCTGGTGCTGCGGTGTTGGCGATGCGGAGCTGGTCGCTGGTTTGCTGCTGGTATGGGTTCTCGATAGTCTGGGGCGGATGCTGGCGTCTGCATGCTATGGTCGATGCTGGCGCTGGTGCGGATGTCGATGCGAGCGGCAGTGCTGGCTTCGATGCTGTGTTCGGTGTTGTTGTCGATGCTGGCGCCAGTGCAGAGGCCAGTGTTGGCGTCGGTGTAGGGTTGGGCGATGACGTCAATGATGCCGTCGATGCTGGCGTCGAGGCTGGCGTCGGTGCTGGTCTCGATTCTGGGGTGGTTGGTGGGCCGTCGTGTTGGTAAGCATAGTGCTGCTGGCTCGCTGCACGCCAGTAAAAGTGGCGGTGCTGACTGCCGTCATGCTGGTAGGAGTGGTACCGCTGGTCTCCGTCATGCTGGTGAATGTGATGCCGCTGTTTTTCGTCGTGCTCGTCACGATAGTGTTGCTGGTCGCCGCCGTATTCGTCACTGTAGTGTTGTTGGTCGTGAGCGTTCTGGTGCTGGTCGGAGTCGTGTTCGTGGTGGTGTGGACGGTGGTGCTGCTGCCCACCGTGGGGCTGCAGTCTGCAGGTCCCTGCCAGTCGTGGTAGTTGCGCTGCTATGGTCGTGGCGGATCTGCTGGTCATGGTGGTCCTGCTGGCCGTGCTCACGTTGCTGGTGCTAGTGCTGGAGCAGCTGGTTGTGGTATTGGTCGTGGGAGTCAGAGGCCTGGACCCGGGAGTTGTCCACGGGTATGCCTCGAGTGCGGGAGTAGGCCTTGCCAGCGGCCCTCTCGGCGGCGTAGCATACGAAGCCTTAATCGAGGAAGCGCTCGGACGGTCCTAGCGAGACGTGGCGGGCCCTTATGGGGCCAACCAGGCTCAAGGTCGAGCGCAGGGCGTGATTGTCGAAGTGGGACCCCGGCCCGGGCACTCGGATGATGCATCGTTGAACGTCAGGATGGGGTCCGATGCCAGACCGGCCCGCGTTGGTCGGGCAGCTTGGTGGCTCGGGTACGGGCGTCATCGTTGGTGTCGATGCCGCGGTGCGTGCTGGCATCGGTGCTGGAGACGATGCAGGCGTCGATACTGGCACCGCTGCAGGCATCGATTGTGGTCGGTTTTGGTGGCTGCGCTGTATCTATGCTGCTGTCGGCGATACTGGGGTCGTTGCAGGCGTCGCGGTTGGCGTCGGGTCTGGAGTCGATGGCGGCGCTGATATTAACATCGATGTTGGCGTCGACGTGGCACGTCGGTCCAGCATAGTGGCCAGACTTGGGAGCCGCGGTCGGGGGAGCCGTTGATGCTTCTGTCAATGCTGGCGTCATTGCTATCATCGATGCAGGCATCGATGTAGGCTTCACTGAAGGCGTCGTTGCTGGCAGTGATGCTGATCGTTGTTCTGGCATCTGTGCTGACTGTGCTGGGATCGCTGCGGGCGTGGGCGCTGACGCCGATTCTGGAGGCCGCGCTGGCGCTAGTGCTGGCGTCGCTGTTAGCGACGATGTTGAGGCTGGAGAGCGTGCTGGTGTTAGTGCTACCGGGTACCGTCGACGTAGGCGTCGATATTGGCGTTGATGCTGGAGGGTGCGGTATCGTCGGTGAGGCCTCGATGCAGGCATTGATTCTGACGTCCCTGCAGACGTCGTTGTTGGCGTCGGTGCCTGATGCTTTGCTGGGGTCGGTGATGACGTCGATTTGGCGCCGGTACTGGCGCTGCGGGGGTCGATGCGGGCGTGGGTGTTGGCGTCGATGCTAAAGTCGATGCTGTCGTTAGTGGTGGCGTAGATTCTGGCTCCCGTGATGGAGTCGATGCCGTGTTCGGTGCAGGCGCTGATGCTGGGGTTGATGCTGGCGTCGGTGCTGGCGTCGATGGTGGGGGCGATGCTGGTGTCGATGCCATGCTGACGTGGGAGCTGCAGTCCGTGCTGGTGTCGTTGCTGACTTGGGCGGTGCTGACCTCGGTGCGGGCGTCGGTGCTGGCGTCGAGTCTGGCACTGGTGCTGGGACCATCGCCGCCGCCGCCGTCCCAGCCGCCGCCACCGTCTTTGCCGTCGACGACGCCGAGCCCACCCCAGCCGCTCCGTCAACAGCCGTCGGATTCGTTGTTGGCGTCAGTGCATACGTCGATGCAGGCTGTGCTGGAGTCGATGGTGACTGCAATACTGGGATCGGTGGTGTTGTCGATGCTGACGTCGCTGCTGGCTTCGATGCGGGGGTCAGTGCTGGTGTCGCTGACGTGCAGTCTGGCAACAGTGCTGTAGTCAATTTTATCTTCGATTATGTAGTCGATGTTGGCGCCAGTGCGGTTGTCGCTCCTGGCGTTTTTGCTGACGTCGATGCTGGGGGTAGCGCTCGTGACGGTGCTGGCGTCGATGGTGGTGCTGATACTAGAGTCCATGTACCGCGGGCCAATAGTCATTTTCCGCTATTGGTTGGGGGCCCAGTCCATCAATAAGTGCGTCGGAAGGATAGTCAGTTTCACTTTTTGGGGGAGGTTCTAAAGACTTCACGCGGTTACTAGCATGTCTTTCTGTGACGCGAGGAGGCCAGCCGAGGAGGCCAGCCGATCCCCTGGGACGCGAGGACCAGGTGACCGACTCGCTACGCGTTACTAAGGTTTGACTAGTCCTCAACAGTTGCACTCCCTGGTCCCCCGGGTCCTTGTCACTGGATACTTGCGGTGACGCGAGGAGGCCGGCCGATCCCCCAGGCCCGTGACTTGCCGCTCGGCCGGGCCAGCCCGCCGCGCTGCCCCCATCCCAGAGCGCCGCCCCGCAGACGGCGCCCGTGCACCACCGCCACGCGCACCGGGGCCGGGGCTGGCCTGGACCCTCGGACCATGCTCGAGGGTTGCTAAAGGTACCCCTGGACCAAGGTGCCCCCAGCTTTTCGCTTGATTTTGGAGCCCCTGGGGGCCCTCTGGGCCTCGTGAGGGGTGCTCCGGAGGCCATGGGGGCCTCCTTGGAAATGCTGGGGGTACCTTGGGCCAGGGGCACTTCTAGCAACACCGGACATGCACGGAACTTGGTATACCCTCTGCATCAAGCAGTGGCGAAGCGTCCTGGCGTGCCTGTAGGCCTACCAAGCAATGTGCAAGAACCTTTTGCGGTTTTCACGAAATGTTGGAACACTTCTGGTTGCAATTGTCTTGTTTCAACACGTCGGGTTAATGTTCTAACAACACTGGTTTTGTTCTTAACCGTTGTGGGTTCTGAGAACATTTCGTGGTAGGACTATAGGAATGCCGGGATGGTCGGTCCCTGCTCAATTTCAGTCTGTCTCTAGCCTCGACTGGCGTCGGTCAGCGTCGATTGGGCGTCCACTCGCGTCGACTGGGAGGCTCCCATGAGTTGCCACAGAAGACCCTCCGTCAGAGGCAACGTCAGTCCAGGCCTCCCAGATGGAATCCGAGCAGGTGGGGTCGGAGGATCACGCCGCATCGCCGATGCATCGCCGATGCGGCTCGATGTGGAGACCCATTCCTCCATGCCGACGTCGCCGACGCACGCCATCGTCGCCGATGTATGGGCGATGCATCGCCGATGCATCGCTGGTGCATCGGCGATGCGGCGCGATCCTCCGACTTTATCTGTTCGGACCACATCTAGTCAGCGTCCAGTTAGGGGGGCACTGTTCGGGGGGAGCGACGAGGTCCCAGGTTCCAGGTTGTTCGGCGATATCGTCGCTTCCTGGACGCGCGTCCCGTGCTCGGGATGCGTTCCAGCGGCTGCGCTTCACGGAGCGGCGTCCGGGGGTTGCCTGGATCGTCCCGAACGGCCGGCGGAGAGCCGCGCCATGACCCGAAAACAGGACGATGAGGATCACGCTCAAGGGGGGGACACATCGACCCCCAATCGCCCATTCATCGCCGATGGGGGCCAGGTAGCCCAACCAGCCCAGGACCGTGGGAGGCGATCTGTTTGCGGCGTATCCGCCGTTCCCGCTCGGTGCTTCTCCCCTGCGCCAGTCTCTCCCGAACGCTCCCCTCGCTGGGTAGCCGCTGGGTGCCTCGGCCAGGAGGGAGGACCCTGACATCCTCGCGCCGTGCGCAGGAATAGCGGCGGAGTGTCGTTCGCACGTTTCTGCCTCCAGGGGCAATCGGCGGTTCCCGGGCCCCTGTCATCAGAGGGCTTGTCGGGCGTTGCGCAAGGGCGGGCGATAGATTGAGGGGGTACAGAAAAAAGGTGCACCTGTTGTACCCAAAGGGGGCACAAAATGGGTCCCTGGAGCCCAGCAGGGACACGACAGGTGCACGCTTCTCCAACCGACCCCGCCACTAGTCACACCCTCAAAATGCAACGCCCGAAGCTCGAGATGACAAGCGGGCCCCGGGAAGAGATCCAGATCCGGGGAGCCACGTTGTGAACAGATCGCGGCGTCGGATGCCTGGGGGCCCTCCTTGCCCTTGCCAGGAGGGCGTGCACTTTGCACGAGCATTAACCCCTGGCTTTACAGAGATGCCCTTGTGTTCTTCACCTCCGGACTCTCCTCCCTGAAGTATCATTTGTGTGTTGGGGCACTTCCGCTGGGCAGCCTGCGAATAGGGGGATCTCGTGCTCTTGGTGCGCGCTCTTGTGGCCACGCCTCGACAACCGTGCACCACCCCTCCACCTCCACCTTTCTTTCATACCTTCCTACCTCCGCGGAAGATGCGGATGAATTCATCGAAGTGCATAGAAACTTTACGCCGTTCAAAGACATTCACATACATCATATCGAAAAGAGGGGCGGAAGGTTGGGACCCGGGCCAGGCACGGTGGCGATCTACGCCATCAGTGAGCAGAATTGAACCTGGCCAACTCGCTTTTCGGTGCCCCCGTCTAGCTCTTTCGCTGGTGCGGCCAGCTCTGCCTCGCCGCCGACGGAAAAATCACCTGGACCTTGCGATTGCTTTGGGCTCGCGGCAGCGCAGCACGGTCAACGCGATACGACGGCGGGCGCCGGAACGCAGCTTGGGCTGCGACTCCTGGGAAGTTAAGTTCAGCATCTTTGCTGGTACAGTCAGCGCGCTTAGTATGGACGCGATTCAACTCCTAGTAGGTTCGGCTCAGCATCTTCGCGGGTACAGTCAGTGCGCGTAGTAAGGTTGCGATACTACTCCCAGGAGGTTCAAAGCTTTGCGTCCTTGCTGGCACAGTCAACGCGCCTAGAATAAGGTCGCGATGCAACTCCCAGGAGGTTAAAAACTCTGTGTTGTTTCTGGTACAGTCAACGCGCCCAGAAAGGACGCGATGCAACTCCCAGGAGTCAGGAGGTTAAAAGCTCTGCGTCTTTGCTGGTACAGTGAAAGCGCTTAATGAGGACGCGATGCGACTCCCAGGAGGTTAGGCTCAGCATCTTTGCAGGTACAGTCAATGCGCCAAGTGAGGACGCGATGCAACTCCCAGGAGGTTAACGCTCTGCGTTGTTTCTGGTACAGTCAACGCGCCCAGTAAGGACGCGATGCAACTCCCAGGAGGCTCAACGCTCTGCGTCTTTGCTGGTACACTCAGCGCGCTTAGTAAGGACGCGATGCACCTCCCAGGAGGTTCAAAGCTCTGCGTCTTTGCTGGTACAGCCAGCGCGCTTAGTAAGGACGCGGTGCACCTCCCAGGAGGTTAACAACTCTGCATCGTTGCTGGTACAGTAAACGTGATTAGCACGGACGCGCGCTTCCTTCGAGGATACCCTTGTGACCTTGCCTCTGCGGCCCGTCCTTTGCCTTTTTCACTGGTCGCCCGCCGCCCCAAAAATTACCTTGCGAACCATCGGCACCAAAGGATGATACAAGGCGTGCCGACACTACTGCACCAGCAACACTGCCAAATATTGTGCACGGCGGAAATTTACATCGTGCCGCGGCCGTCGCGAAAGTAGCGACAGTTTAACCCTGACCCCCCAGCAGCCCTCGAAAGTGGCGACAGCTTCGCACTTCGAACCCCCCCATGGATGGCGAGGTCTTTTTGGGATTTGCGTGAGGCCCCTCTGTGCAGGCTCCCCCAGCAGCCCTCGAACGTGGCGACATTTTCACACGTCGCAGCCCCCAAGGGATGGCGAGCTTCCGTTGGATTTGCGTTCGGCCCCACTGTGCTGGCTCCCCCAAACACCCTCGAAAGTGGCGACAGTTTCACACTTCGCAATTCCCCAGGGATGACCAGCTCCCGTTTAGATCTGCGTGGAGCCCCATTGTGCTGGCTCCCTCAGCAGTCCTCGAAGGTGGTGACACATTCGCACTTTACAGGCAGCCCTCAGAGGGATGGCGAGGTACCGTTTGGATCTTCGTGGGGCTCCATTGTATTGGTTCCCCCAGCAGCCTTCGAAAGTGGCCACAGTTTCACACTTCGCAGCCCTGATAGCGATGCAAGCAGGTAGGTGCAGGCAGGCGAGAGGGGGACAGAGGGCGGGAAGTTGAGGAGAAGGGGGTTGGCACCCCACTGCCCTATTCAAAACGAGGACCCATTCAAGGGAGGGTTTGGAAACGTCCTGAGTTCGGCCTCCACGGGTCTTGCGTCCTTGCCACCCGTCCTTAATACACGTTCTGATTGCATACCCATCGCCCAAAATTGCTGTATTCTCGCACGGTCCCGCTCAATCGGGTCACATTGTGGTTCATCCCGGGATCTGCGGTTGTCTGGTTTGTTGGCCCTTTAATCTGGTTCTGTGTTTTTTCTCGGTCTTACGAAGACCTCCCAGGAGTTGGTTCCTAACGAAAAGGATACCGACGACAGCTGCTTAACAGCCCAGCCGTGCTCGCCGATGGCGCGCGGGCGCCGTCTGTGCATGCCGCGTCGCACGTGTGGACAGCCGCCGCCCGCGCCGCTCCCGTTGGGCGCTCGGCAGCGGAGGGGGGCAATGACCTCGGGGGCGGCAAAGAGGGGGGGATGACTAAGGGGGGGGTGGATATCATGGCGTGGGCCATGATATTTCCCCAGATTTCACGGCGCCTCTTCTTATTTCATTACGTCCCTGGCCCCCCCGCTGGGCCGCGCACATGCCGCCGGTCATGATTTGCACCCCCCCCTTTTGGACACCCCCCTCTTGGCCGCTCCCGATGACCACGGGGGCCCCAGGATGGCAGGGAATTGGCCCTGCAGAAGAGACGCCGGAGTGTGGACCGCTTCAGGCTCAGGAGGGGGCCCTGTCTGTCGAAGGCGTGCCCAGGATCTCGGTCCTGGAGCCCTCTGCACGGCCGGGGCCCGTCGTGGCCAGAGGGTCCCCCGCCTTCCTCGGTCAGCGCTCCTTGTGGTGGCGCGGTGGCTGGCGACGGAAGCTGAGAGGCCCCGGAGCTGGGCCAGAACGGGGTGGAAAGGTACGCGCCTCTTCTCTCCCCGTTGATCCCCACCCACCAAACCACCCCAACCCAACCCGAAGGCTCAGATTTACCATCGATTTCCAGTGGGGGGGGGGCGGGGAACATCGAAAAACACATGTGGAACCCTTACCCCCCCAACCCGAAATTCAGGTCTTCGGGTTGGGTTGGGGTGGTCTGGTAGGTAGTCAGTTGATCCCCCCCCCGTTGACGAACGCCCGTCAGGGGCAACATCAAGGCGGGACAGGCCTAGGCATCGACCCCGAATCTGCATAGCCGATAGGGGCCTGATAGCCCACCCCGCCCAGGAGCGCACGGATTTGCCATCGGGGAGCCATCGCCGATCTATCGGCGAGAAGCCGCCGATCCCAGCTCGATGTTCCCCCCCCCCTGAGCCAGTCCCCCTTGAAGTAAACAGGTGCACAGGGAAGCGCGTTGTGGACCCCCCGGGCGGGGCTGGGACGAGGATAAAGCCGCTCCAGAACGTTCTGGACGCCCCGAGAAGGTCGGCGCCCA